CCAACTCCTACAAGAGAAGTTCGAGCTCAACGCAGAACAGCTAGGCATGCAATTCCTAGGCGCGATAATAGGCTCTGTAATTGGCGAGCAAATGGGCGGCGTGCTGTCAGACTTCTGGATGAGCCGGCGCAGCAGACGTATCAACCGCAAGGCTGAGCCAGAATTCCGCCTATGGCTCAGCTACTTCGGCTTCGCACTCACCATCATCGGTATGATTGTCTTCCTGGTCTGTACGCAGGAATCACCCAGTGGACACTGGAACGTCACGCCCATTATCGGTACCGCTATTGGCGCTGTCGGGAATCAGCTCGTCACCACGGTGATGATCACCTATGCAATCGATTGTTTCCCGCAGGAAGCTGGTAATATCGGTGTGTTCATCACTTTTGTCCGACAGATTTGGGGTTTCCTTGGTCCTTTCTGGTATGTTTTCTTTCTTTCCTCCATTTTGTTTTGTAGTGTCTTCGTTAACCTCAGCTTAGGTTTGCTCCCATGTTCGAGACCGTTGGTGTTGCTCCTAGCGCGGGCATTGGGTCGGCGTTAGTTGTCGTCGTCAGTGTTATTCCTACCATCTTCTTGCACTGGCGGGGTAAGGTTTGGCGTATCGAGGAGTGAAGGCACTGGAATGGAAATCGACTTCGGTTTCGGTGTTTCGCGCTCACACGTTTCGTGATTGTGGTTTCGGTTTGGGTTTTCTCCAGAGCATCGGTGGGTATCCCAGAGTGATAGAGTGGTCGGGTTCGGGTTCGCGTTGGTTAGATGAAGATTCGGCATCGGTGTCGGCAAGGTGTTTCGAGACTGTATTTAGCTTGACCAATAAATCGCAATTAATCTTCAACGAGCTTTGGAAATCGGCACGAGAAAATATCTGGGGTCAGTACAGAGCAACAGCATCAAGAAGATTCGTTGACTTCTGTTCAAGAAATCACATTACTACTTGTGGGGATGTGCATAGAGGTATGAAATTTTGATAGGGCCAAGAACAATCACATTCATGCAAATAAATGAAGAAAAGTAAGAGAGAGAATTTTGAATTAACAACTGAAATCCAGCAAAAACTCTTTCCCCTAAAAAACAGCCGCAGACCGTCTTTTAAGCAAATCACTCCGAACGGGGACAGCTCGGGACACCGACCCGGTATAATCCCGTAGCGCTGAAATCGAACCATCCCGGGTCAACGATGCCCCCGGGCCCTGTCAGACGACTACCGGGTGAATATTTCGGCTTATGGTGCTATGTAGCTAACTGTTTCCAGCCGACTACTACATGAAGGAAATGCAGAAGCATTCTAGTATAGCGTTCACACTATACAATTAACTATGATAGTAATATTTGACCAGTAAAACGAGTCTCTGCTAAGCTTTTAGGCATCAAATTCATGGATCCAGCTTTCCCATTTGCACATTTTTGCCATTTTCTAACCACTTTAGCTCTCGTCTACAATAAGTTGTTCAGTAAAGGACCTACAGGTCAATATGGCGGGAGAGATTTAGTCCGTACAGGGAAGAGTTTATATCCGGCTGAGCTCTGTGATTGGTCAAAGCTTCTCAGTATAGACTGTTGATTTAGCATCCCTTGCCTTGCAGCTTGAATCAGGAATTAAGTATATCCAGTCCGATGGCTATGATAGTCATTATATTTGTAGGTAGTGGTTGTATTGATTAGGCTGTATATCTAAGAAACCTTGGGAGCATATGCATAGTATTTAACAGTTGTCAGAGCTGCTGCAAGTCTCACTGGATCAAAGGTAATACACAGAAAGGTCGGTTTGTACATTTTAAGCTGCTTTTACCACCTATATTTCAAAGCGATAGAGAAGGGGGGAAATATATTTAAAAGGGCATCTAAAAAGATATCAAGAAATACGCCGCAAGGCCACACACCCGGCCAACTATTCTTTTATACATAAATGGAAATGGAAATTGATTGCTTCAATAAATCACATCTATTATTCTATATACTAGATTTCATCACTGGTGCTCGATCTTGTTGATAAGTGTCCCAACGTGGGGCAGCAGCTCAACTGCAAACTCGTCGCCAGCCTTGATAAATTCCTTCGGGTTCTTAGCTGCGCCAACACCGGGCGGGGTGCCGGTCAAAATGATTGTACCGGCAGGCAGGGTGGTGCCTTGCGAGAGGAAGCTGACCAGCTGGGGGACGTTGAAGACAAGGTCACTGTGGTGAGATTTAATGTTAGCCGGTGTTATTTTGTATACCAGAAGTAATGCGAAACAAATATCACGTACGTCAAAGGGCAGTCCTGCATCACGTTGCCGTTCTTGAGACCACGAATCTGGAGCTTGCCGACATCGGGGATGAGGGCAGCGGATGCGAGGACAGGGCCTATAGATATGGAGTCAGTACGAAATTCTTCTGGGGATTATACAGTCTCTGGACGTACCAATCGGGCATGCGCCATCAAAACCCTTTGAGAAGGACCACTGGCTCTGGTTCATCTGGGAAGTGCGGCTGGAAACATCGTTCGCAGCTGTGTAGCCAAGGACGTAGTCGAGGGCCTCGGACTCAGACACATCCTTAGCATCGCGGCCAATGACAATAACCATCTCAGACTCGTAGTCTCCGGTGTTATCCTGCTGCGTAACTTTAGGCAGAACTGTTGGCGCAGGCCAAGGATCCGCCAGAGAGCTGGCCGGCTTCATGAACAATGTCGGGACTTCGGGGATCGGGAGAGCCATCTCCTTAGCGTGGGAGGCATACTATAGTGCGCATTAGCAACATTTCCCCTGAATGTTCCTGCAGCCCTTCAAAACTCACGTTCAAACCAATACAGCGAATAGTTCCAACCTCACTTTGCGCCAAAGGGGACAGAATGCGCGCGATGGTCTCTGTTGCGTCGGTCACTTGGCCAGGGCTCAGGACTGAGGTGCCGGAGAAGGGGCGCACTGCAACCTCCTTGCCCTGGTAAAGAGCCAACCCGACATCCAACTTGGGGTCGACGGGCTCTCCGATTAGAACCTTGGCGGGGTTCGACTTGGGGACAAAGCGCACCAGGCCTATTTTCGGTTAGTCTGGGATCCGGGGTTAATTGATTAGTCCTTACGCGAGAAGGTAGATGCGATTTTGGACATGCTTGTATGAATTGGAGAATAAAGAGAGGAAGCAGTTCGATTGTAGCAGAAACCCCAAATATAATACGGCGCTATCGAGACCGATAGCGGAGTATGTCTATGCCGGCGCTGTATAAGCCGGAGGGGCAGCATCCCACAATGTGGGGAAGTGGCGAGCGCGGTCGATTTCAACTTGCGGAATAAAAAGAATAAACCCCCCGCGATTGTCGCGTTTTTGTAATAATCATTCCATATCGCCGCCATGTCTGCTCCTAAGGGTCCCTTCCACCTGGTTAGTGTCAACACCGCGCCCGAACGCGCCAAGCGCCTCATCGGCCGTCTTGTCGAGGCTCTGAGCGATCGGTACACTATTATCCATGTCGATAACTGCGAGAGTAAGCATATTGAGATCCATTGAGAGTGAATTCCGGTTGACCAAACCTCGCGCAGGAATCGACGAAGTCGAGGCCAAGGTCAAGCAGCACAACCCCGAGGTTTTAGTAAGTCCAAATTCGGGATTTCCGAGCATTTCCAAGCCGGAATTCCAATTTAACGTCCTAAATAGTTCAGCGCCTCTATGTGGTCCCCCGAAGAGGCCCAGCAGATTCATGAGATTGCCCGCTCTGTTCGACCCGATATCAAGCTTCACGCCATTCCTCAGGGCTTGCAGGTCGAGCGTGGTCCTGATGCTGTTGTTGAATATCTGCTTGAGAATGTGCCGGTGCTGCTGGACAGCTAGACGTTGTAAATATGAACATGTATATATCCATGCCTCAATAAACGTTTGATGATCGGTCTTTCATAACGTTGCACTCAGTTCGGTATGGAAATCCATTATTGCTGGTCCACGATCATACATGCGCTTGAAAACAAGGCCATTCTTGTCATATCAAGCATACTTGTTGGTACACACTATGATATATGTTATGCAGAACGTTTTGCCTTGCTTTTCTCGTCGATTCGATTATTGTTCATTCTCTCTTTTTCCGAGAAACCACACTCTATTCCCCAGGTTCTCTCGCGATGATCTGAGTCCAAGTACCTAGGTAGGTAGGCAGCATGACTACAACAAAATCACCTGCAAGTCCCGTGACTGCATTACCCCTCAGCTACATATAGCTTCATCCGGCATCCCTCGTCTTGATGAACATATTGCGGATATCGGCTCAAATAAGAGAAAAGCACTAACTCTGGTTGACTTTGACTGCCTATGAATACCTGCCAACCACTTACAAGAGGGTTCTGGGAGCTTAAATGCGGCAATGATGCTGATAAATCTCTAAAACAAAACAGCAAGAAGATACATAGTTGATAGAGCATTTCATCGTTCTATTCCAAAACAAGGATATCTCATACGTGGTCCGTATCACAGACTTGACATTGAGCTTCCTTGACCACCCTTGGCAATTCCACGCGCCGAGGTGCCTCTATGCAATACTTTGGGGCTGAGTGGTTCATGTTCCTCGATTGGTACCAGTCTCCCAGAAATTTTGAAACCAGAAGCAACAACCTCTCACCGGAAATCGTGAATCCATCGAGCTAAATTCGACGATCAATCCACAGTCCCCCCAAGCCCTCAACCGATACCTGGCCAATACGATCATTAAAGTTGCAGATACTCCGAAGAATGGGCACTTGATGACTTCCTATCCAATAGTCATGCGGTGAACACGAGCATTGTCCCGCTTCAGCCCCTTGGCACCTTGGCATTCAGGGTCTGCTAGGTATAAATCCCGTGTTATCACTTCACTAGGGCACAAAACAAACATTTTCACGGTCAAAGCCCGTGCTAATATACTCATGCCCGACCGCAGCATTGTCTGTTTTTTTCCTACTTTTATTTTTTACTTCTTCTTAACGAACAATTTGGGATGACGAGGTGACAGACAATTTTATCTTGATTCCCCATGAACTGATTCACATTCGAGCGCAATGTTACTTCGTTACCCTTTTCTCACAATCCTGGCTTTACTAGCCATCCCAGAGCGAGTTTTATCACGGAAAGGCGGCGATGGCTCTAGCGGGGACAGCGACAGTAGTAGCTCCAGTGGCTCCAGTGGATCTAGTGACTCGAGTGACTCCGGTGGTAGTGATGACACCTCTTCATCAACATCATCATCCTCTGGTGAAACACATTGCTTTGATACCCACCGCCTCGACTTTGAAGATCTTCAGCCTCCACACTACTACAAATACAATAAGGCACCACGCCATGGTCATGCCAGTGTCAAAACCGACTGGGATGGAGTCTTCTTTAAAGGCGAAGCCAATATGAAATACACAATCATAACGCCACCAAACAATTTGACAGAAGGCGACATCGTCAGTTCATCTTTGATCGAGTGTCCCGTTGGCAGACAATCTATGCGCATGCTGGGCGTTGCATGGGTTGGGCCCAAAACCCCCACTCCCGCTGGACCCATCAATCCTTTCACGTTGGGGTTCAAGGCTTGGAAGAGCAACGTACGCGTCTCGGATATCGATTATTCATACAGTGTGTGTGAAGACCCGGATCTCATGCTCCTCACCACGACGGTAGACCTGTACAATGAAACTTCAGTCGTGAAGGCCATGGATGCAGTTGCGTTCAATATCACCCAGGCGGCTGATAACAGCAACAAGATTCTGTTCGATGGGGTCTATGATCTCAAAGACTGGGCAGATAGTGAACGGAGCTACTTGCAACCAGCACGGTATGACAATACCGGCCTTTGGGATCAGATAATTTCCCTTCCGGATAGTCTATGCTCTGAGCGGAGAAATTTGGGCAAAATCCTCTTTGTATGGCCCACTGGAACACACTTCAATGGGTCCATGACCAACGAAACTCTTGAGTTGAATTTCTCAGGTTCGACACTTGCTGGGTTTGAACGTAGTTATCCATCATGGCCAGACACAGACACAAAAGTGAATGTGACTTTCGAATTCACATTCACGGGTAGTTTTGATGCTGCGAATTCGACGCAGGTGGTTCTGACAGGCGCTTCGAGCAACAATGCGTCATTAGTCGACTTTGAGATTGTGACTGGCAGTGCTACTATGACAAGTCTCTCACTGTACTACGTACTACTCTCTTTATTGATCACTCTTGGGATAATGGTCGTATGAGTGTACAAGTTTGGGAGGAAATATAATAGTCACCCTCAAGATCAATCAATTCTACCTCTTTTCACTTACTTGCTTTTGGTTGGCATCATGTAAAAACTTCAAGAAAAAGCGAATTTATATTCAATTTATTGTCCAATTTTCTGCTACCACCTCAATAGTGTCCGACATCACCAGGATACATAGTCAGATATCAAACAGAAGAAGCCGCAAAAAGTAGTAAGTAATCATCTCGTAGTTAGTATCCGTTTTTGCCTGAAATAACCCCGTAGCAAGGACCATCCTTGTTAAACATGGCCCGCAAGTCCTGGAGGATCGAATCAGGAACCTCCCAAGCGGCAAAGTGGCCTCCACGGGGATGCTCGTTCTGTTGAACAACCGGACCCAAACCAGCAGCCCAAGAGCAAGGAATAACAGATATTTCACGAGGGAGGTGCGCAATTCCCAGCTTCACACGCGGGACGTGTGCAATCAAGTCCTTGTAGGACTTTCCCTTGACTGTCTCGACGTGGAAAGCCTCATAGTATATGCGGACACTAGCCGCGGGCCCAGCTGCAGAAAACCAGTAGATAGATATCCAGGTTAAGATTTCATCGTCGGTCCAGGGATACCAGTCTGTCCAGTCATGCAGTTTCTCGTAAATCCAGGCTAACAAGGCAACAGGGCTATCTTCTAGTGCTGCACTGATGGTCTGCGGCCTGGTACTTTGAAGTTGGTTGTAACCGTAGCCTTCTCGTTCGAACCATTCACTCCTTTCGCGGCCTGCTTTTTCCCGGTCATTGTACGGCAGCAATGCGTGTTGTAGAGCTGCCCATGGGTTATCGGTGAATCGAGGGGGATTAGCCAGCACCATGTTGATATGAGAGGCTTGGCAGTGCTCGGGGTATAGAAGACCGATAGTTCTAGTGATCCAGAATCCCCAATCTCCGCCCTGAGTTACTGTGCATGTATCTGAGTTAGTCTCGGGTGTAGCTGGTATATCCCGGTTCTTCTCGGGCCATACCATACTGATCATAGCCGAGCTTGATCATAAGCTTGTGCAGGACTTCGGCATACTGTACAAGGCCAAACCCACGACGGGTTACTCCGGAAGAGAAGCCGAAATTGGGCAGCGATGGAGCCACAACGTGGAATGCGGGACTATCGGCGCCGCCTTTCAGCATTGGTAACAGTTTTGTGACTTCAATGAACGATCCTGGCCCTAAATTTACTATCAGAGACCGTACTACAATCGGAAAATATATGGATGCATAGAAGAGGAGATTGATACTCACATCCATGGCTAAAAAGCAGCGGGATTGCGTTCTTGTTGGTATTGATTTGGTGGACATCTACATGTTTAACCCCGTGAATATCAAGCCATTGAGAATCTGTGCACACAGCTTACAGTGGATATCCAAACTGCCAAATCCATCTACCTCGATCTGCGTTTGATATTGGGGCAGTTCATTCAACTTGGCTTCTGCCATTCGCCAGTCAAATCCATTCTTCCAATACTTTATGAGTCGCTGTACTTCTTCCACTGGAGTTCCAAAATCCCAAGGATCTTGTTCCGAGGACTCCAGCTGGGTTGCGAATTTGGAAAGTGCTAGGCGCTGCTGAAGGTCTTGGAGATTTTCATCCGGTACGGAAATCTTGTACGGTTTCAGTTGATCGGCCATAATGAGGTGATTTTATTGAATTTGATGACAATTAAAAGCTATCTGATGAGTGAGGGTAGCGAGGGCAGCGGGGGTAGTGGAGGCTTTGGTGAGATGAAGTCGGCCAGTTGCAGATCCTCCTCGGCTCAGACCTCGCCCACTTCAGTGATATCTTGTTTTGGTCATAGACAGCGGGCAATTGCGGGGTTGCCGGGGTCCCCTAACGGGGGCCTTCACCGCCAGTCATGCCCCCTCTCCTCTCACTCCCCGAGATACCCTATATCCCACAATGCCTAATGTAGCAGAGTATCAGGTAGACGATTAATCACTACTGCTGCTGTTAGTGTTCTATATAAAGCTGCGTTATAGACTTGGGCCCTCTAGTTAAACCATCCAAAATTATGTTAAACCACATCATCAGCTGCAGCTATCGGTGATAAAATATTCTAAGGAACAACATGAGAAGTTGTAACGAATTTTGCCATGAGCAAATGTCATGATGCCTAGGGGGTTGGTGGGGAATTGATGGGCATGCCTTCCCGGGGGATTTCAGGCCGGGGGCCTTTGACGGGAGGCGCAGGACATAAAGCCCCCCTGGCAACTGGTCCCCAGTAGTGCCTACCAAGGCCCCCCCCCCAAACCCCCCTATAGGTTCCAACCTTGGTGTCCCCGCTTAGGTAGGCCCTACCCTCAGGCCGGGCCCGGGGGCTTCCAAGGTTTCCAAGGTTAGGCCCCGGGGCCATGAAGCCGGCTTAGTCAGCAACCGGCCCGCGGGCCCGGGCGGTCTTTCCAAGGTTCCCGATCATCGATCCAACTCTTGATATTTCCAAGGTTGCCATTCTCTCAACTCGAAAATCGGAACATGTTCTCTCTTCGGACAGTTGCACGTGGTGCTACAGGCCTGCGGGCTTTCTCCACAGCCCGTATGCTGCAGAACGAGCTGGCATATCAAGTCTTTGGCCCGGAAAACGGTCAAGCTGTCCGAGACCCCATCCTGATTCTACACGGACTGTTTGGATCAAAGCAGAACAATAGGAGCATCGGCAAGTATGTTTCGTCGCCCAATCTCTAAATAAAACTTTTTGTACTTACATATCTTTCAGGGCTTTGGCACGGGATCTGAAATGCCAGATCTTTGCACTGGTAAGTTTTTGCTTGGCCCCAGAAAGACATGAGAAAAAGTCATTCAAGAATCCTGAACAAATCTAAACAGGATCTGCGCAACCATGGCCATTCTTTCCATGCCCCCGAGCACAATTACGGTGCTATGGCGGAGGATGTGCAGGAGTTTATCAAACAGCAGAAACTCGACAAATGCGTTCTGATCGGGCATTCGATGTATGTGATTAAATTTCCGATGTCGAGCGCAGCCATCCCCATCATGTGCTCTTCTTATACTAACCATTCGTAAAGGGGTGCCAAAGCTGCAATGGCGGTAGCACTACGCGCCCCCGAACGCGTATCAGCTTTGATCCCCGTTGATAACGCACCGGTGAATGCGGAACTAAAGAGCGACTTTCCTAAATACGTTCGCGGCATGCAGAAAATTGAGGCTGCGAAGGTGTCAAAGCAATCCGATGCTAACAAAATTCTTGAGGATTATGAAGAGGTAAGGGGTGTTGATCTTGCTGCGGACTAGCGGAGAAAGGGGGGGCGATGAGCCTAGCACCCTCTAGTAATGCTTAGCATGCTAATACTCCCTAGTCTCTTCCCATCCGCCAGTTCCTTCTCACCAACTTGATACGCTCCGAGGAAGATAACACGCTTAAGTTCCGAGTCCCGCTATCTGTCATCGGCGGTTCGTTGGATCATATGGCCGATTTCCCTTTCGAGGAATCTGATAACCTCCATTACGACGGCCCGACGCTCTTTGTTCGTGGCACTAAGTCTAGATATGTTTCGGACGATACGGTGCCGGCCATCAAGAAGTTCTTCCCCAACGCGCAGATTGTGGACGTCGAAGCGGGTCACTGGCTCATTTCTGAGAACCCCGAGGCATTCCGCCAAGGTAAATTCCCTCTTCTCGACAATACTTAACGATGTTTTATTTATGCTTACATGATGATAATAGCGGTCGTTAAGTTTTTGGGGTCGACATAGTTGGGGTCGGCATAATTGGGGTAATATACAGGTCACGTGGTTTTAGAATTTAGACGTATGTAGAGGGTTTCAATGTACAGTAATAATTCACCCAGTGGTATGCTGAGTAATATCGCTTTGAATAGCCAGTCGCAGGCTTTCAGTCTATCGACCGAGTGGCGAGAACATCTAATAATGGTTCCCATAAAACTGGCTCATGTAGAGATGAATGGTTCGCATGGCGAGTCGTAATTCGAGGGTAACGGAGGGGAAAGAAGAGGCCCACGACAGTAGTGGAGACAATGAGATCTATGAAATCAGGTCTGGCCCCACTCACTCATTCTGCTTGTTCCGCTTTCGCTTCTTGCCTGGTCTGCTTGGAGGCTTGGGATTCTCTTCTGCCTGCTCCGTTCTCTTTTTTGCCTTCTTCTTCTCCTTTTTGCTAGAGCCCGGAGTAAAGGATCCCGGGGAAGAAGAGCTAGGAGCTGGCGAAGACTCAACTACTGAAGATGATTCGGTTGTGTTTCTTTCGTCATCAGAGTCTACTACAGATGACACCCGTCGCTTTCCTTTCAAATTCTGAACCTGGCGGGGTTCGGCGGATTTCCCAGAATACGGCGACGGATGACTGATGCTGGGTCCACTGGGGGTTTGTGAGGGCTGTCGAGCTTGCATCGCAGAGTAAGTCGACGTCGAAACGCTTGGTGTGGAACTGTCGGCCTGGCCCTTCACGCTGAACTGGACCGGCTGATATGCACCTAGAGTAGCACCCGTGGGAACTGTCCTGGGTGTTGCGGTAGGCGTTGATGTAAACGAACGGCCGTTCGCTAGGGACTCAAGGGTTTTCTGTGCATTGATGCTCTCCTCCAGTTTATCGAGAACATCGGAGATCTTCGCTCCTCCTGCAAGCGCCTTGAAGATGTCTTCGGCGTTTCTTAGACGTTTGATATACATCTTCACCTCATCCCCTTGCTCGGTGAATTTCTCCAGTGATACTGGTGGTTTCCGGCCTGCAAGGACTTTCACCTGGTCTCGGAGTTTGCTAATATCGTTATCTTCGGTTGTGTTTCGATCCGCTAAGTCTCTCAGCTTTTCCCGGACTTCGTCAAGATACTGATCTTCCGTTGTGTGCTGATGTTGCAAATCTTTCAGCTCTGTCCGGAGTTTGTCGAGATTTTTATCCTCCGCTTTATTTCGGTCCGCTAAGTCTTTCAACTTTTCCCGGACTTCGTCAAGATACAAACCTCCCGTTGTGTGCTGATGTTGCAAGTTTTTCAGCTCTGTCCGGAGTTCGTCGAGAATTTCATCTTCGGTTTTGGTCCGACCTTCGAGGGCTTCCAGCCGCGTACTGATCACATCGAGGTTCTCGGGCGCGGTAGTGTTTCTCTCCGCGGCGGCTCTAGTCAACTCGCCGATGGCTTGTCGAACCTCTTGGAGTTGCGAGATGTGATCATCGACTTTATTGATTAATGGATCGATCCGGCTCGTGGACTCGGCGATGGTTCCAAATTCTTCATCATGCTCATCGGCCTTTTGAGCAATGCCTTCGATAGTGTCGTCTTGGGCCGTCATCCTGTTTTGCAAGTCGCTCCGCAGTTCAAGATTTTTCTGCAACTCATCACTATGCTCGCTGATGAGTCTCTCAATCGGTGCAAGCTTGTCGGAAAGGTCTTTGACCTGTTGGAGTAAAATCGGCAGCTCAGTCAAATTCTGAAGCTGCTCAGGTGATACCTGTGCTGCTTGAGACCCTTCTGTGCTAGCCTGGGCGTTTCGTGCGTCTGCCTGAGCCTGTTGTGTATCTGCCTTAAACTGATTCGTATCAGCCTTAAATGACTCTGTGTCCGCCTTGAACGCATCTGCATCTGTCTTGAGCGCAGAAAGCCTGGCTTCAATTTCAGTCCGGTGGGCCGTCAATTGTTGACTTAGCTTGTCGACAGAGGGGTACATTTGCTGCATGGCATGTGCCATGGAATTGACCAAGTCGCCTGTGGTGATGTTGGTATATCTTGTTTCTAGTGAGCGAATGGCCCTGTTGAGAGAGTCGATTCTACTCTCGCATTTTGTTACAGCCTGAGCAAGGTCGGAGACCGGAGCAAGGCGGGTTTCGAACCCATCTAGTCCACTTTGAAGGTCGGTTCGGAGCTGCTCAAAGCTCCCTGGTAAGGACCCTTTAAGTTGGTGAAGGTCCGTGCCGAGTGACGTCTGATGTTTGGTCATTTCCTCGGATTTCCTAGTCAGGTCCTCCACCTTTTTCAAAGTGTCATCGTGTTGAATTCTCAGTGAATTTTGGCTCGACTCTTGGTTCCGGCGGAAAGTGTCCAACTCAGTCACACGAATAACATCCACGTCGTGATGGAGGTTCTTGATATTGTTGAGGAGGTCTGCTTGGGTCTGGACTCTCTTTTCCAGAGACACCACTCTTGTAAGCACCCCGCTATGGGGAGTTGGAGTTGTTTCCGATGAGACCCGGCCGCCGCCGTTATCAAGGTTTTGTTGTAGTTGGGTTCTAAGCGAGGCTAGGAGACCTTCTTGGGCGGTAATCCGTTCCGTAGCCTGCCTTCTTTGGGCCTCCAGGTCAGTTTCAACTTGTGAAATTTGAGTTGATGCGCTATCGTTGAGATTATGTCGCGTAGCACTGAGCGACCTGATATCACTTTCAATGGAAGAAAGCTTGCCCTCAAGCCGTTCATTTGTAGTTCTCAGTTCGCCACCAAGAACCGAAATGTTGGTCTCTAGGTGCTGGTTGGAAACTTTCAGTTCTTCCTCGACTGTGTCGACCATCTTCTTCACATTAGAAATCTTGTGATCAAGATCCTTGTCGGCAGCCTTCACTTCACCTTCAAGGCTTGAGATTTTGTTCGTGAATTGACTCTTCCATTTGGATTGAAGAGCGACTGAATTCGCAATCTTATTCATGTATCCCAGCGCCTCCTCCAATCCATTCGGGTTCTTGAGAGCATGCTGCAATTCATCCAGCTTTCCTTTGAGTTCAGCGATATCTCGGTCCCGAGCTTGCATGTCCGCTTGGACTCGTTCGATTTCAGCATTCCCTGTCATTGGATTATCCCCGCTGATGGTTTGGGCGGGGCCTTGCCCCATTCCTTTGATTGTGGATTCCAGGTTCTGGACCCTCTCAGGTATCTTTTCGAGCTGGGGCTGAGAATTCAACTGCGACAACGTCGAATTAAAATTGTCCTCTGCCTGATTGGAGAGTGATCGATGCTGGATGATCGATTTGACATGGTTTGCCAATTCATCTTTGGCCGCGTCCAGCTGTTGCTGGAAGACAGCGATGACACTCGGAAATTGTTGAGATTGCTTCGCCCTCTGCAGGTTTTTAGAGATAGAAACTATTTCCTTTTGGAGTCTCTCTTTCTCTTCCTCGCTCTTGTTCACTTTGATCAATGAGTTGACTAAATCTGAGATGAACAATGCGCCTTGGCGATTGGGTACACTTTGGCTTTCTGTGGACTTAGGGCCCGGGGCGATGTTAGGGATCGAGAGTGGAGGCACTTGGGGGGACGATTGTGCAGGAGGTTTCTGGATGAAGGCGGAATTTGCGGGGAGGTTTAGGTGCCCCTGTTGGGGATTTAACGATTGAGGATCAACTGATTGCCTTGCAGTACCGGCAAGCCGAGGATCTTGCGCCTTGGTCGCGTTGTGGGTTGGCATAGACGGCAATGGGCCCGGGAATGGGCCCGAGAGTCGCTGCTTGGGGAGATTGGGAGAGTCAACATTCACTCTGCTGGCCATGTTCCCTTAAATGGATGTATTGCAAAATACTCATCGTATTTGCAACAGAACTAAAGTGTGGTATTTCAGGGGTAGACTCGTGGGATACAGTCTGCACTGGAGTCCCGGAGCAAAAAGCTTTGGGCGCAATATTAACGCGTTCACCACGCGAAAACTTGTTGGTGAGGTACAGTGCTTGTAGGTGTGGGTATTGTTGAAAATGACTAGTCGATTCCCCCTGAAGTAGTGAAGAAAGCCAGGGATGTCAGATCGAAGACGCGATGAACACCAAATTTGTGAAATTGGTTTAAAGTGACGCAAATATGGCAAGTGGAAATGAAGTCAAACGGTTTGCCGTTTCTTTGAGGAATCATTCTGCCGGGCGGTAACGGTGCACTTCGATCTGCGATCTGCCCTGGCTCTCTCTCTTCTTTTGCTTTTCTAGAGCTTTGGCGCATTTTACCAACATAATCTTCCAGTTTAAGATACATTCCCTCTGGAAATTTTCAAATATGGCTGTAGTAAGTTACAATTCTTCTACAATATTTCCACAGTTGCTGACACTAGAACAGCCAATCTCGACTGTCTCAGAGAGCAAGGAGCTCCGGGGACTGAACCTCATCGCCGCCCATTCGCATATCAGAGGCCTCGGTGTCGATGCAGACACTCTTCAACCTCGGACATCTTCCCAAGGCCTTGTGGGTCAGGAAAAGGCCCGCAAGGCTGCTGCAGTGATTTTGCAGATGGTGAGGGAAGGCAAGATTGCCGGTCGCGCTGTTCTGATCGCAGGACCTCCTAGCACTGGAAAGACAGCAATTGCAATGGGCATGGCACAATCTCTCGGGCCGGACGTACCTTTCACCATGCTTGCTGCTTCTGAAATTTTCTCAATGGAGATGTCGAAGACAGAAGCCCTGACCCAGGCATTCCGGAAGTCCATTGGTGTGCGCATTAAGGAAGAGAGCGAAATCATTGAGGGTGAAGTTGTGGAAATTCAAATTGACCGCAGTGTTACTGGCGTGAGTGTATTCTCTACGCGGAACGAATTATTAGCATTGGATACTGACTACCTACAGGGCAATAAACAAGGAAAGCTCACGATCAAGACTACGGACATGGAAACGATTTACGACATGGGAACCAAGATGATTGATTCGATGACCAAGGAACGAGTAATGGCAGGAGATGTGATCTCGATCGACAAGTCCTCGGGCAAGATCACCAAGCTCGGTCGGTCATACGCACGCTCTCGAGACTACGACGCCATGGGCGCCGATACCAAATTTGTCCAATGCCCCGAAGGCGAACTTCAGGTTCGCAAGGAGATTGTCCACACCGTCAGCCTCCACGAGATCGATGTCATTAACTCACGTTCACAAGGCTTCCTGGCCCTCTTCTCCGGTGATACGGGTGAGATTCGGAGTGAAGTTCGGGACCAGATCAATACCAAGGTGGCTGAATGGAAGGAAGAGGGCAAGGCAGAGATTATCCCCGGTGTCCTGTTCATTGATGAGGTTCACATGCTCGATATCGAGTGTTACTCCTACATCAACCGTGCCCTTGAGGCTGAGTTGGCCCCTATCGTTATTATGGCTAGCAATCGCGGCCACTCACGGATCCGAGGAACCACCTACAACTCTCCTCATGGCCTACCCCTTGACTTCCTCGATCGGGTTGTTATTGTCAGCACACAGATGTACTCTGGCGACGAGATCCGTCAAATTCTCGCCATCCGAGCGCAGGAAGAAGAAATCGATCTTTCGCCTGATGCTCTCGCCCTTCTCACCAAGATTGGTCAGGAGTCGAACCTGCGTTATGCCAGCAACATTATTACTACTTCGCACCTCCTGAGTCAAAAACGCAAGGCAAAGGAGGTCAGTGTTGATGACGTCCAGCGCAGCTTCCGATTGTTCTACGACCCTGCTCGGAGTGTCAAGTTTGTCAATCAATATGAACAGCGCTTCATTGGTGACCAAGGTGCTGTTAGCTTTACTGCTACTACCAATGGCGACGCCATGGAGCTTTCTTAATTAGGTTACATGTTTTAGTACTGGGCTATTCGGTGGGCAGTTAAGCGGGTCGAAAAAACTACACTGGATCTTGATTTTTATTTTGTTGTCGCATCAAACGATGTATGATAGGACTGGCGCTTGTTGAGATGATTTGGCCTTTGAGTTTCAATTGCAGTCCTCCGTTCTGGAGGATCTGATATTAATATTTCATTCATCAATGGTATTTTGTGTAGCCAAAGCGATATCGTAGTTGATATGGGGGGTTTATGTTACAAAAACTCAACAGTGCCGCTCCACGGCCCTGAATCTCCAACTCGACGGAACTCAACACCTTCGCCAAAGTAGCCCGCATTCCTCCATGAGTCCATCATCGCGCTATCATATGGCCCATGGGCATCCCCTCCATCTCTAGCGTCAGACCACCGATATTCCCACATGGCTGGACCTTGCTCAGTCACTCCGTTCGTAGGAGGATCAATCCAATCCTCGCCTGTGTCGTTGCGGTACTGCCGTGTGAGCATTTCCCGCTCTGTGTCGTAAATATCTACTTGACCGCGGCCCATCAGGATATCGGCCGCGCCAGTAATAGAATCAATTGCCTTCTTCCGGGCCACCTCATCAGGGTCCTCATCTGTCATCTCAATATCCTCCGCGGCGTTCTTTTTGTTCTTCTTGCTCTGCCACTTAGGCTTTCGGCGAAGGCCTTTGCCCAGTCGGGCCAGTGCCTCGAGTATTGTTTCGCCGCGTTCAAGGTGGGTGATGATCGTCTTCAGGACATCCGCTGTCAAAATGCTGTCGTCCAATCGGTCTTTCTCTTTGCGCTCTGCGTCACGTTGCTCAGCAGCCTCTTTGGCCTTCTTGATATCCTTCTTGGAAACACCTTCCAACCACGAGTCATAGGCCGCGTCGGGGTCTATTGCTTTGCGGACATAGTTGCCTTGGTCGTCGAATCGACCCTCCTCTTGTTCTGTTCGCATGTTGAAGGCATCTAGGAGAGGTGCGTGCTTTTTCTTCCCGCCGGCGCCAAGTTCCTCGTCCACCACTTCGTCGACTCGTGCGCGTTCCTCTTCCCCAACTTCACTGCCACTTTCATCTTCCTCCTCATCAACTTGGGCTGCACCCTTGCTCAGATCGACATGAAGCGCTCCTCCGCCTTTTGAAGAAGCGACTTGGCCCTCGATCTCGTCATCTCGGAGGAAGCGAACGGACTTTTTGTTTTTGTTTATAATCTCGTCGCCGTCGACTTCCTCTTCGCCGAAGTCTTCTTGTAGCTCAGCAAACATGTCATCATCTTCTGCGTCGTCTTTGGCTTGTTTGCGCTTAGATTTCTCTTCTGTGCGCGCAGAAAACCCCTCGTTGTCGCTATCCGAATCGTAACCCTCGAGATTAACCGCCTTGCGTCTCACTCTCTGGCCACGTCTGCCAATCTCATCGGCGTCCAGTACTGCATCTTCTTCGGGCGCATCAGCTGCAAGCGCTGAGGGGTTGCGAAGGTCGAAGCGGGGCTTCTTGTGCTCTGAGGAATCCTCGCCGTCGTCATTGTAGTTGGTGCTAGCGAAATCTTCGCCTGTGCGCTTGGGCCGTGGCAATGAGCTCGACATGGCGCTTTTATTGGGGTTTCCGGGTGGAAATCAATAGGAAATATGAGGTTGCGCAAAATTGAAGGGTAAATCAACTCGGAGAGAGCTGATTTCCTTGTCCGGGGTCGGAGCGGAAAATCATGACGGAGCGACCTGCGTCACTGACGGCGATCCAAAGAGCAGCATATTGTAACTCAAATAAACCCGTTCTCACGAACACCTTTCTCTTAAACCATCTTTATTCTTTCAAATTCATAGAATTTGATATGGTGAGTCAACTTGAATTCTCCATCCCTCTCGCAATCTTCACCTTCGTAACTAACAGCTCTAGTACCGACCTGGTTACTGGTCAGACGACCCCATGGATGGAGTCCTAGGTGCCGGCATGGCGCGCCCGGGTGCTACATCCCGTCGCTTCGATGAATACTATCGCTGCTATCCAGTGGCGATGCTTCCTGGTCCTGAAAGAGAGAATGTGAACCATGGTGGCAAGGTCATCATGCCTCCCAGCGCATTAGACAAGCTTACCCGGCTTCACATTACCTATCCGATGTTGTTTGAGCTTCACAATGGTGCGAAAGAGAGAATGACACATGCGGGTGTTCTTGAGTTCATTGCTGAAGAAGGAAAGATCTATTTGCCATTCTGGGTGAGTAAGACGGACTCCTCGATGTGTTGTGACTGTACTAACCCTCGGTTCTCTGCAGCTGATGCAAACATTACTATTGGAGCCTGGCGATCTTCTTCAAATCAAATCCACAGACCTCCCTCCTGGCCAGTTCATCAAACTTCAAGCACAGTCAACCTCCTTCCTCGATATTAGTGACCCGAAAGCTGTGTTAGAGAACGCCTTCCGGAATTTCTCATGTCTTTCCAAAGGCGACGTCTTCACTTTCTCATACAATGATCAAGTATATGAAATGGCAGTGCTGGAAACAAAACCCTCTGGGACGAAAAATGCTGTCTCCGTTCTAGAGACCGACTTGGAGGTTGATTTCGCCGCTCCGGTTGGATTCGAAGAACCACAGCGGGCTAGCGGGACCAGCACGCCCGGTAGCGTCATTAGCGGTGGAAAGCTTCCAGCTGGTGGACTATTGCACCCTCATGGCACCATGGCACAATCGATCAACTACCCCGCCATTGCCCCCGAGGCTACCGATGCTGCCACAGGTGCCCGTGCGGCATCATCCAATTTTTTGTCTGGAGGACAGCGTCTGAATGCCAAAAAGGGCAGCAAGGCCCCGACTCCTAACCCTTCCACTCCTACTCCAGGTGCCTCAAATCCCTCACATCCACCTCCAAGCCGAAGAATCAACGGCCCGCAACCACTTCGACTCCCGCCCAATCAGCTCTTCTTCGGGTATGCAATCAAGCCCGTCAAACCCCGTGATGAGAATGGCCTAGTTGTTCCAGATGACCAGCCCAAGTTCCAAGGAATTGGACAAACTTTGCGTGGGAAGCGAAAGGATCTGTCCGACTCTGCCACCCCCTCGGGAAGTGAAGCTGAAACCCAAAAGAGCAAGGAAAACACCAAAAAGTCCGACGGCGGTGGTCGAACTTTGGGGAAGCGCTAATGCCTGCAACGATCTATTTAAACCTACATTTTCATGATTCTCCTGGGCTTTTAGATAGTGGAAATCTCTAGATTCCGCGGCGGGATTTCCTTTGAGGGCATAGCAAGGTTCAACGTGGCGTTTGGGGCGTTCTTTACCTTCACTTGAATACATAAAAGACCTTGCAATAAACCTCACTATCTTCATTACTCGTAGGCAGCTCCATTTCCTGCGTCCGAATCTTGGTTTCCAAGCCAATTATATTCTTTTGCAGTCCTGTTGCCTCGAAATCTCGGGATCTTGGAGTCTCGGGGACTTTGACAACACTCCGAGGGTTGGGGATTTCCCAATGTCCTTAGGAAAGATCAAATATGTCTTCTACATATCTCGGCACATTAATTCAACTAGTCAGAAACGGTATCTTATAGTTCCGCTAGTGCGCACAGCTCTTGGCAAGCCCAGGATCGCCCTCCACAGGCCTAAAACTAAACTACACTATTAATCTTACACCAGATACTCGGGGTTGCATCATGGCCACAATGGCTGAAAACCCTTTGAGGGCATTTAGCAAACTAGCCCCCTCAGTCTATCTCCAAGACCCGCCCAACCCAAGTGAGAAAGCGGATCGGCCAGTCATATTCATTGCTTTTTGGATGAATGCACCCCCACGCGCCCTAGCCAAATATGTGGTCGAATACAGACGGCTCGTACCATCAGCGCGAATTGTCTTCGTTAGAAGCTCATCGGGTGACTTCATCTGGCGCCTGGGGGCCCAGGCCCGGAAAGCCCGCGTTGCCCCAGCCGTGGAAGCAATGCGCGGTCTAGTGACCCCTGAAAATCCAGTATTTGTGCACTTCTTCTCAAATGGAGGCATGTCGAGCACGACACACCTCTTGCAAGCTTGGAAGGATGCGACAGGGACTCCACTGCCCATGTCGGCAATGATCCTAGATAGCGCACCGGGCAGTCCGAGCCTACGAGCGGATTTCAAGGCTTTCTCGTTTGCGCTTCCGCGGATGTGGATCTTGTGGCTACTTGGAAAATTCTTGCTTTTTGCTTTATTGGTTCTCTTCAAGTTGATCCATTCCTCTTCCGTGTTTCCGGATCCTACCTCCCTTGCCCGGAAGCTCATCAATGATAACTCTTTGGTGCAAGCGGCTAACCTGGACGGGACTCTCAGTCGTTGCTATATCTACTCAGATACGGATGACTTGGTGAATTGGCGCGATGTGGAATCCCATGCGGTAGATGCCGAAGCTGAGGGTTGGGTGGTGCGCCGTGAAGTGTTCAAGAACTCCCCTCATGTTGGACATATGAGAGCCGAGCCCGATCGGTATTGGGGCATTGTTAGAGAGTACTTGGGAGCTTTGGTTTTGGTGTGATCGTATTCCTTTTCTTTTGGCCTTTCGATTTTTCTTTGACCTGAGGAAGACTAGAATGTGACATGATAGCCATCATGCTGTGCGACAATCATACCTAGGTACATATCTGCTTGTCTCCATGTATAAATCCTTTTTTCCTCCTTCAAGTCTTCTTGTTTATAGCGCAAGGAACAGGAACAGACTTCCATCAAGCCTTTGAAGGTCGATTGGCCTTGTTTTAACCATGCAGCAAAATTTCGCAATTCCATGGTCATAGTGTTGAATCACTATGACTGGTACCTCAAGCTCACCTGGGCATACGCCGATTTGTGAGAGCCAAAGTGCTGAAAGGCCCGGAGCCAAGTTCCGCAGCTCCCGTCTGGAGGGTCAACCATTGCGATATACCCTAGAATCTAAAGACGACGACACCCCTGCATCATTACTCTTCCCCTTGTTTTAAGTGCCCCCAGCTTGATTTGTTTCAATTTTCCCCATTCCAATGCTCATTGTTCACTTATTCTGATTCTGGTGTCTGAAATTGTGCAGGCCATTTCAAATAGACCTCGTTAAAGTAGGTTTTGGCGCCCTGCCTTGGCCCTGTGTTATTCTGACCGAGCAGTATAAATCAACCGATCATCATATCACTCTTGAGGACTTTTATTTGGTTAAACGCAACGATGTTTCAACACCAATCCCACGAAGCGAGCTTCCTTGAGTCCAAGATAGGGAAAGACTACCGCTTCGCTCTTCCGGGATTCAACCGGCCGCTCGACTTTGCTCCGATGGAGAAAAACGTCTATGGCGTCGAAAGTCGGAGTATGTTCCCATCTGCACTGGATGATAGAGACATCCAAGCAGGATTTGTTGAGTAAGTGCAGAGTCCCCAAGACCCGAAAGGGGTTCAATGCTGAGGATTCTCATAGCCTGCCCGTCTTGACCCTCCGCGAGATGCATATGGTGGAGTTTATGGAGGACCTGACTGATATTCCTGAGTGGTGGAAAAAGGTTAGTTGTCCAATACAACCGATACTGATCATTCCGCTCAAATCGTTTCAGGTCTTTGACCCTGCCACACAGGAGAAGTGGAAAAAGACCGCCATGAACAGTGGCAAAGACATTACGCTCAACATGGCTGAATGGATTATTGACGAGCTTCAATTTAAAGCCATGATCTACGAGACCACGGATGTAGTTGCCCTGTACAATGGCGATGTCACCAAGTCCGATACAAACATACCTAAATCGCTCGTCGGCGATATGGTATCCAAGTTCTCTATACTAGAGTACGAGGAGAAGGCAATGCAGTACTTCTATCCAGGAAGTCTACACAGAGAGCGTGATCTCATTTCCATGGCATTGTACCCGCTCGTTTACGGCAAGACCCGCATTCTCACCGACAGAATCCTTGGGCTCGACGACGCCCTGAGGAACTCCGGCAGAGGCGAAGTCATCCCAGTTCCAAAAGAGACTGGAATAACCAGAGAAGATATTGCCTGGCGCGTCTTGTCCCGGGCAGATATCAAGGTTCGGCCCTACAACCGGAACTATCAGATCCTTCCTTCAGACTGGGAACTCGGCGATGATGGAAAATGGCACATAGCCACATACATTAACAACCTCCACCCAGTCAAACACCGGAACCTCTACAAGCTCATCGAGGAAGTTTTCAATTGCATCGTTCCACAGTGGAACGCAACCTTGACTCCCCTCAAGGACATGCTCCATTCCCGTGCCCGAATCGAATACCACAAGGCGGAATATTATCCAGTTCCAAAAGAAGTCGCTGCCCAAGCACCTCAGATATATCCAAGAGAGGCGCAGAGTGAGTTTGACGAGCGCACGGAGAAGTGGAGAATGGAGAACTACCGCTCTATCCAACCCGACGCAGGCAAGTTCATTCCCTGGGCAGTTCCACCCTGGTTGATGGACAAATTGCCCGAGGACCTGCCCAGTGCGGTTCGGATTGAGCGCGGCGTCGATCTCAACCGGGACTACAAAGAGCGCGGACTACAGGTGATCACACGTCTGTTAGGCATTGATCTAACTCCGGAAGATCCGTCGTTTGAGACAGACTGGCATGTTGAGGGCACGATGGTGAGTTCAAAAGCTCCAAGAATCCTCGCAGTACTTGATAATAATATAATATAAATCAGAACGAGCACATCTGCGCCGCAGCATTCGTACCATACGACCACACCAACATAATCGACCCGTTCATGGAATTCCGCAACATAGTAGAATCCGACACGCTCGGAGAAATCGAGCACGACCCAAGCGACTTCATCTGGCTACAGCAAGTCTTTGGTTTGGAAAACGGCGAGCCAGCCATCCAATACCCAGGTTCGATCTGTGCTAAAGTAGGCCGGGTGATCATGTACCCGAGCACTATACAGCACAAGTTCACGCGCTTCGAGCTGAAAGACAAGACTAAGCCTGGGTATGCGCGAACCGTGGTGTTTTACCTCGTCGATCCTAACATCCGCATCATCTCCACGGCCAACATCCCACCGCAGCGTGTAGATTGGACCAAGGAGCTGTCACCTGGGGAAGGGGTCAAGGAAGGCTTGCAAAGGCTGTCGCTTGAGAATATGAAGTCCAAGGGTGATATGCCGATGAGTCTAGAGGAGGCTTTGGAAGCAAGGGTCAAGCTTTTGCAGGAAATGGATGAGTTTACTCGCTATCAGCACGTGGCTTTTGAGTCGAATGTTTTGATGCTCTAATTTGGTGTGGCTTCTTCTTGTTTCCCTTTCTTCCAGTTGTTTTTTAAAATGCTACTTTGTTTTTGTGAGGATTACTGCCGAGTTGTTTCTGTCGATCCAAGTTACTGTGGTTGAAGCTCCAGCTACGTGCTACAGAAAAGAATAATTAGGTAAAGATGATATTAAATCGCCGCGCTATGCCATTCATTCGTAAGACCAAGTATGCACATATCCCATTTTGATTATCCCAAACTCCAATCGACCCAAAGCCAAGTCCAGAGCTTAACGTCCCTTCATCTCAGGGAACTCATCATCAAGCTTCAGACGAGCCGTAACGTTCATACTCATCAGTTCTTGAATGAGAAGTTTGGCAGCATAGGGGATAACCATCTTCACAACGGAACGAGACGACTTGCAACCAGGACACCAGTTCAAGTAGCCCATGAAACCACACTGTTCACAGACATCGACCTCGTGGCGATCAGATGAGATCATCAGACGCTCCAGCAGCAACTGACTAGTACCGTACGCAATCAAACAATCACGTTCCATCTCACCGAGACGTAGACCTCCGTTACGCGAACGACCCTCGGTGGGCTGACGGGTGAGAGTAGCAGTGGGACCCTTTGCACGTGAGTGCATCTTGTCTTGAACCATGTGCTTCAGTTTCTGGTAGTAGATGGGACCGGTGAAGACGTAGAAAGGCAGAGCCTCACCGGTGATACCGGAAGTGAGATAGTCCTTTCCACCATAGCTGAAGCCTTTGTCGATCAGGATCTGGGACATTTCTTCGACAGGGCTACCGCCGAAACAGGTACCGTAGCCGTGTTGGCCGGACAGAACACCTGCTTTACCAGCGACCAGCTCCAACATTTTTCCAACTGTCATTCGAGAGGGGAAACCATGAGGGTTCATGATAATGTCAGGGTTGATGCCTTGGTCGGAGAAAGGCATGTCCGCTTGGTCTGCAATAATTCCAACAACACCCTTCTGTCCGTGACGGGAAGAGAACTTGTCGCCGACCTCGGGGCGACGAGTCTGTCGGGTCAGGACCTTGATAAGCTGCGTCTCGCCTTCAGTGGCAGATACCAGGACCTTGTCTATGTAGGAAGGATCGGGGAGCTTGTAGTTCATGGGTGCCTCGATAACATCTCCGCCACCCATGTCGGGGGCGGTGAATCCCATGGAATTTTGAACCCTGGGCGTGACCTTGTTGATGTAGCTTTCGCCGTTATTAACCATTTCGCCGACTGCAGCCAGGCCATCAGACTCGAGAAGCGCATGCTTGCGGATTGGAACGCCATTCTCGTATGTCGGTCCTTTGAGGAAATCCTTGGCTCCGTTGGGGTAACTCTTCAGCGTCGTGACGTACTTGCGGAAGACCTGGCAACGTCCAAAGCCACGGTCCACGGACCCCTTGTTCAGAACCAGAGCATCCTCAATATCGTAGCCAGAATAACTCATCACGGCAACAGTCGCGTTCTGACCCGCAGGAAGTTGGTCGTATTTTGTCAGCTCAATGGTTCGTGATTTGACCATGGGCTTTTGTGGGTAAACCATGAGGTAAAGAATGGAATCAATTCGCTGGAACTGATTGGAAGCAATAGCACCAATAGCTTGCTTACCCATGGCACATTGGTAGGTATTACGCGGGGACTGGTTGTGGTGAGGATAAGGGATCAATCCAGCAACAGCTCCAAGGACTGTGAAGGGCTCAATCTCAAGATGGGTGTGAGTATTTGAGATGTCCTTCTCGTAGATGGCGATGTAGGAGTCGTTCTCCTCGTTCACGTCGAGGTATTCAACGAGTCCTTGCGCAAGGAAGTCGTCGAACTCCATTTTTCCATCGCGCAACTTCTCGAGATGTTGGACTCCAACAAGAGATTTGCCATTCTCCACAACAATGAGCGGTCTGCAGATACGTCCATCATCGGTCGCGACATGAACGGCTCGCTGGTGGTGATTGATGTAAATGCTGACAAATTCCGAAACCCGACCCATGCGGCGCAGTCTTCGGAAAGCATTGAGGAAGGACTTGGGACGTCTGGTCAAACCAGTCGGTGTACCGTTGATAGAAATAGTGTAAGCACCCCGAGCATAGAGCTGCTGTCCACCAACACTCGAGATGTCTTCGACGCCGAGCATGAATATCAAGTTTCGCACCGGTCCTTCTTCATCGTTGGTCGTGATGTGTGTCATGAGGGCCAAGTTCTTGACCAAACCACATGCCTCACCTTCGGGGGTATCTGCAGGGCACAACATTCCGAACTGGGACGGTTGCAGGGCACGAGGACCACTGACCTTACGGGTCTTTTCGAACTGACTGCTAATACGGGTCATCATACCGAGAGCTGCAATGTAACTCAATCGGCTGAGAACGTGAGTGACACCCGCACGCTCCATGCGGAAACGCTTCAAGCTCCAGTTTCCTGTGGAGATGGCTCTGTTCATACCCTGAGTGATATGATTTCCATGCATAGTCACGATAGTCCAAGCATCGAACTGCTCGGCCCGATTGCGTTTGTTCAAAACTTTATCGATGTTCATCTTAATATCGAAACAGAATTTCTTGAACAAATCTTCAAAAAGAAGGGCCAACATCTGACCCGCCAGCTCCAACCGCTTGTTTCCAAGATAATCACGGTCATCCACTAGGGCCGGGTCACTCTTTGCCATTAGAACGCGACGAGCCATGTGAGCAACGTAGATAGCCTTGGGTCGGAAGTTCATGTCTTTAACCTCGATATGAGAAATAATGACAGATGCAATGGCCTCAACTGCCTCTTGCACGTGAGTCTTGCGATACGCGGCTTGTTTGCGGTTGATCTTGATGCGACAACCGATCCACTCAAGGGCTTGTTGTTGAGTGTAAACATCGACGTTGATAGCCTCTTCGAAATTGATGGCGAAATCATCTTGATACAGACCATCGTCACCAGTAACCATTTGCATCATTTCCTTGTCGGTGTGGATGCCCATGGCCTTGAGCAAAATAACAATCGGAATGTCTTCATTGAGCACGTTGTGCTTGACGTAGAGTCTGCCTTTTTTCGATACAATGTAACTCTTGGATTTACGCTCGTTGGAGGAACTGTAGATGTTAGTGATTGCAGAACAAAAAAGGTTAGACGTGAACATACCTAGTAACCGAGGCCTGAACGATATCTTTCTTTGGGTCTGTCTCGACAATAATTCTGTTCTTGCTCAACTGCTCTTGTACAAGAATGACCTTTTCTGTTCCGTTGACGACAAAGTAACCACCGGGGTCAAGGGGACATTCGTTGAGGACGCTCATCTGAGCAGGCGTTTTATTCGAAAGCACACACTTAGAACTCCGGAGCATGATCGGAATTCTTCCGATGGGGACTGCTCGTCGAATAACCCTTTGCCGGCCACGGACATACTCAAAGTCAACGAGAATGGGTGCGGCGTATGTAGTGTCTCGTAGTCTGCACTCTTGCGGCGTGATCGTGGATTCGAAATCAATTCCGCCGTCGCCTTGCTCATCGGCTCGTCGAGGTGAGGCGACGTAGATATCGGTAAACTTGATGTAGAAGTTGTGGTCCACATCACTTCGAATTGTGGAGCTTGACTCAACAATCTTCTTCATTTGCACCTCCACAAAGTAGTTATATGAGTCAATGTGCTGCTTCACCAGCCCTTTGACCTTGAGGAATGCCGGCAGTAGGTTCCATTTGTCCCTGGCGGTGTCGATCGGGTCTGTAAGTCCCTTGTTGTAATAGAATGGTTCCAAAAGCGCATCGAATGGATCCCTAGCCTTGAAATTCGAGGCCGGTTCGGCCTTTCCGGGAACGGAATTCTGGTGAGGCTGAGGAACAGGGTTGGACTGGGATGGGCGCTTGCTTTTCGTGGGGTCAGTCGCCGATTGGTTTCCGGCCTATTCAAGTAACAGAGCAGTTAGTAAAATCATCAGAAGTATGGGATTTGCGTCTAGAAAAAGTTTTGTTACCTCTGAAGGACGTCGCGCTCGACTGGCCGCAGAGGGCTGTGGCCTCTTGCGCGGAGGCATTTTTGCTAGGCAGCTGAGGTGTAGAGATATCGACCAAGAAAGATATCCCAATCAAATTACTCAGTTGTCCAAAGAGAAGCTCGCAAGATGGATTCTCATGGAGGGGAAAGTTTTGAGTAATTTGGAGATGGCTTAATAAGCTGCGGGCTGGAGCTGATAGTTGCCTGAGGCATCAATTGATAACACTGCAGTAGGTGTATTTTGGACGTCGGTTTTTTCAACCCTTTTTTTTTTTATCTCGGTGCTATACCTAGATGGGTCGTTATTAGCTATATAAATACCACTATGGGTGGGAATAATTGCATGGAGTAGACATGCCATGCTTATCACTCTCCGATGTGCAACATACATACCTTGTAGACGACTTTTGTATGCATAACTACACAGGATAGTCACTAGAATTCCTACCATGTCTGTTAGTCTGACTTAAATAATATTTAAAGCTCTCCAGTCCCCTTTTGATGGGGGTATAGCTGCGATCCTGTAAGCTTTTTGTAGTGATAGGCATAGAAGTTGGCTCGTCGTGATATATATGTTGAGACGACCCTTGTATATCATTCCAGAACGAAAACTAAAGAAGTAGGAGACGCAAAAAGAAATGGATACCATCAAGTACTCTCTTGGTTATTAAATACTTAACCAATACGAATTGATAGTTATATCCATCTCATCAAGTAACAGTACAAGAACGAAGGATCGGAGTATACTAGCCTTAACTCCGAGGTAGTAGGAGTCTTAAAATAATAGACGATGAAGCAGGTTTGGGGGTAACCACTACACGTCAACTGATTTGAAGAATGATTTATATTAGTCTCAATTTTTCAGAACGCATGGGGCACTCTGTACATGGCTAGATTTACGAGACATTGCCAGGTTGACAAAGATTTGTAGATTCACATGGTAGTAGTACATTTAGTGGGTCTTTGCGCATGCAGGCCACCCCGGACATTTATGCCTGCACGGACGAATTATTGATCAGGATTGACTTGGT